CGTGATTTTATATGTTATGGAATCTTTTATTATTTATAGAAAATTTTATTTTAATTATAACAACAGAACAGAAAAAAAATTGATTTGATAATCTATATTTTATGTGTGTTTTTGTCAATAACATGCAAATTATTTGAATTTGTGTAGTGATATAACAACAACACTAACTCTAACAACTAGTCTACAGTGAATTTGTTTTAAGAAAAAAATAAGTTTTGTTCTCTCGGTCAGTTTGGTTTCTACTAGATTCATCTAGATAGTAAATACATAATAATTTTATTCGTAGTAAAAAACTCACTTCAAAATTTAGATTAGGTATTTGTTGGTTCGATGTAGTTCGGTTGAACCGAATTACACACTCTTAAGTGTAATGCCCACTACGAAGAGACAGATCCTTTACAGATTCAAGATTCAAATCCTTTCATTGAAAACTAATCATTATTAATCGCCTCTTCTATGAAATGTATATCACAAGCCTCATGTGAGTGAGTCTTGCAAAAACAATTCACGTGGCAAACCACAGTTGGATTCTGTAATCAACAAGAGCCAGAGAGATTAACAAAACAAATTATTTATAGTTTTCTATAATTTCTTTTCATCGTTATTTTATGAGTTATCCCAAAACTCATAACATACATATCCGAATGGACTAAATTTCTCATCCGATCCGAATTGACAAAAAAAAACCAATCAGAGCCCAGTAACCAAATATGAACCCCAATGGAAATTAAGAAATCAAACCAAAACTTTTTGTTTTGTTTTTGTCAGAATATTTAATCTTCATTTATAGTTCAAAGGTAAGAATTAAGATATCTTTTAAGAAAAGTATATGATATTTGATTATCCGGAACTTTACAAAACCAGAATATTTACTATACTTATTATACCTGGAAAAAAAATTCCAAACATAAACAATACAAGTGGATTAAACATTTATATTAGTATTTAGAATGAAATATCAGTTAAAGATCTACCGAGAAAGTTTGCTTTGTTTTTGGAATATAAGTTGAGAAGACTTCCACTAAATCTGATTATTATTTTCTCAATTTTTTAACTAGATTATAAGTTGAGCACATGGTATTTTAATTTCTAAAATTTTATAAAAATATCACAAACGTAAAAAAGTTGGAATGGTTAAAAAATATACAGTCTGTTACTTTTATATAAAAAGGTTGTATTTAACTTTTTTGTTTTGAATATTTTACAAATTCTCCATTATAATTTTCATGGAAGAGAAAAAATCTTTCAAGTCCCAAAATAATTTTTAAAGACTTTTGACTTTTCCAAACGCAGACGCCAAATTAGCTAGAAACCCCAAACGACAAGTAAACGCGAGATACCATTTACTCGAATCAAATCCACTCATCAGAAGAGAACCACAAAGACAGACACAAACCAATCTCTCTCCATTCGATCGATCAATGTCTGATCATCAGCTTCCAACAGAGATCAACTTCTGGGGAGAAACTTCAGAGGAAGACTTCTTCAATCTCAAAGGCATAATCGGCTCCAAATCTTTCTTCACTTCTCCACGAGGACTCAACCTCTTCACTCGTTCATGGCTTCCTTCTTCTCAATCTCCACCACGTGGTCTCATCTTCATGGTCCATGGCTACGGCAATGACGTCAGCTGGACTTTCCAATCCACTCCCATCTTCCTCGCTCAGATGGGTTTCGCTTGCTTCGCTCTCGACATCGAAGGCCATGGCAGATCCGACGGTGTTCGAGCTTATGTTCCTTCAGTAGATCTTGTCGTCGATGATATCATCTCTTTCTTCGATTCGATTAAGCAAAACCCTAAATTTCAGGGCTTGCCTAGGTTTCTGTTCGGAGAATCAATGGGAGGTGCGATTTGTCTTTTGATACATTTCGCAGATCCGTCAGGGTTCGATGGAGCGGTGCTTGTTGCTCCAATGTGTAAAATCTCCGACAAGGTGAGACCTAAATGGCCGATTGTTCAGTTTCTGATTATGATCTCTAGATTCTTGCCGACTTGGGCGATTGTTCCGACAGAGGATCTGTTGGAGAAATCGATTAAAGTGGAAGAGAAGAAACCGATTGCGAAGCGGAATCCGATGAGGTACGGTGAGAAACCGAGGTTAGGTACAGTGATGGAGCTGCTTAGGGTTACTGATTACTTAGGGAAGAAGCTAAAAGATGTGAGTATACCTTTCATTGTGTTGCACGGAAGTGCAGATGTTGTGACTGATCCTGATGTGAGCAGAGACTTGTATCAAAATGCTAAGAGTAAAGACAAGACATTGAAGATCTACGAAGGTATGATGCATTCGATGTTGTTCGGTGAACCAGATGAGAACATTGAGATTGTTCGTAAGGATATTGTTGGTTGGTTGAATGATAGATGTGGTGGTGATACAACAACCCAGGTTTGATTGAATTTATATTGTCTTATTTCTCTGTTTATTGCTGTAATGATGTGTATATTTTATCATGGAATTATATATTTGAGTAAGTGACTAGAAATTGATATGTATAGATCAATCACATTGTTCTTGCAGTTTCACTCTACATACAAAGCAAAGCTAATCCTTTTCTAGTTCCTTCTTTGCACAAACCTATAGTTAAGTTCAATAGTTTTCTTCTGCTAAAAAACTGCGCAAACCCGGAAAAACCTATATATGTACCTGAGTTTGTCAGACGAGTTTGGATCGGATCGGGCTCTCATGCCATGAACAGATAGTTCAAGTCTTCTTCAGAGAGATGCGACTGACGACCACCCTTTTCATCCTCTCCAAATGCAGAGGCCACCATCATTCTCTTCTTTTGCTGTGCGGTTTTAATGTCTGTGAGAAATACTATAGCTAATAGAGCGGATAATGAAAAAACATTGCAGAAATTATCACAAACCTGGAGGGCCAATATTCGATCTTCAACCGTGTCTTTTACTGTGAACCGCACCACGCTTACTGGTCGTGTTTGTCCAATACGATGTGCTCTGTCAATTGCTTGATCTTCAGTGGTTGGGTTCCACCATAAGTCCAGCATGAGAACATGACTAGCTGCAACCATGTTTAGCCCAAGACTAGCAGCTTTCAGAGACATTAATATTACAGAAACCTAAAGTAACAATTAAAAAAAAACAGTCAGTATAACATAGTAGATGCAGAGACACTAGCATCAAAACAAAACGATGATCTCGAGCTGCATACCTCAGGAAGAGTGTTAAAATCTTGTATAGCTTCATCTCTAGCTGCTACTGACATTTTTCCATCAAACCTTCTATACTGAATACACGAACTCTTAAGACCAGCTTCGAGAAGGTCCAGCATCTTTGTCCATTGGGAAAACACAATGGCTTTTCCTCCAACTACCTTAACCAGACTATCTACGCTACTCTTAACTGGAGTTGCAGGAAAACTGGATGACACGTTAAGATGCAGATTCTCTCCATTTTGAGAGCTTTGATTCAAATCATTCTTTACTGTCGTTGGACTCTGTGGCCTGCTCAACGATTGCAAGATCTCTAGAGCAGCCTTGATTTTGGATGAACCACATGGAAGATTTTCAAAACAAGACTCGCCAATCCCAACAAATTTCGAAGTAGTACAATCACTTGGAGCTTCAAGTTCATACAAGACAAGCATAGCATTGTCTAATGTCTCTTTGGAAAATAATGATGAAATTCCAAGTCCGACTTTGCAGTTTGACAGCGGGCATTGATTATTATCGCCAGTAAGGCATTCGCAAATGCAATGCTTACAGAAAACGTGACCACAGACCGAAACAACAGCATCTTCAGGTGCACCCTGTAGGTGAAGAAGGGATACAAAATTAAGTTTGAAATCTAAATGCGACAAAAGATAACACCTCAAGAATCCAAAGCAATGCCTTGGAGTTTGAAGGGATATTCACAAGTTAAGAGGATATCTTACATTGCAAATACCACATTTTGCCAATGAAGCTTCTAAGCAATTCCGAAGAAAGGTTTGTTTCTCATATGGAAGTTTCTTAGCCACTTCAACTGAGGATATTAATGAGGAACTGGAAACAAGAAGAGGATGACCACAAGCTTGACGAAGCCGCAACAGCATCAACAAAATATTTACATAATTTTGCTTCACCGTTCCAGCATCTGCATATTCCTGACAATGCAACTGCATATCAGCATATGCAAATTTCTAACAAAGAATAATCCTTCACTATCATAACAAACAAAGAACCTTTCATATGAGATCATAAAATGCAACTGTGTATCCAAGTTCTATATGCATATTACCTTAAATTGATCACGAGAGTCGCATTCTAGCTTTGAGTAGAAATCACGTTCTTCCTTGGTGAAGTCTACTTTCCTCAGCTCAATGGACTTCGGAGGTAAAGATATTATGGGGTTTCCATCAAGAAGAGTATCTAATGATTTTACTAGTTAAAACCCATAGAAAAACTTGACAAACATCTACAGAAATCTAGCTTCATAAAGAGAAGAAGAATGACCTTTGGTTCGTCTAAGCAAGATTGTTTTCAGGATAGCCTGCAACTTCTGATATCCTTCCACCGGGTTCCTAATGATGGGGTTCTTAACCGTGTCACGAAATGACTGGAAGGTAGAGTAAGGATTATACTTAAGAAATCTGAAGTAGCTGTAGAGGTCATCAATTGAATTCTGGATAGGAGTGCCAGACAAACACCACCTACGTTTAGCATGAAGGCCGCAACATGCCCTTGCAGCTTGGGTTTTGTAATTCTTAATGCTCTGTGCTTCATCTAGAACAACTCTAAACCATGAAACTTCAGCGACAGGGCCAGATAGAGCCACAACAGATTCAGAATCCCCATGTTTCCTCTTTGTTCCCCTCTTTTGAGTATTTGGCGGATCTTTTTTGTTTGACCCAAAACTAGCAAATTCAACTCCACCATCATGTATGTCACCCTTCTTATCATCTTTATCAGAAAGAGGCTGCTTCGGTACTTCCACGTTCACAATGGCATATGTGGTAATGACAACGTCATATTTAGCTAGCTCGTGAGGATCCGTTGTTCTGCTGCAACCATGGTAGACCAGAACAGAGAGATTTGCTTCAAGAGTAACCTTCTTGCGTAATTCGTCCTCCCATTGTCTTATAAGACTAGTGGGACACACAATAAGAGTTCCAGCAGCTGGCATTCCCTTCGTTTTGCATAAACTATCCGCACCGACTTTATTTTCATTGACAACCACTTGGGAGTGATCAAATTGATCACTTCCTCCATTCTTTAAATCTTCTTCACATGGTAGGGAAGGTGTAGACCGTTCTGTCAGTATAAGCGCTATTGTGGAAACTGTCTTTCCAAGTCCCTGCAGAAAATGATAACACAAAAAAATTTAACAAAATACATGCTTGTTGTGTCAAATGTATAGTAACTGCTAACATGAGATAAATTACATCAGTACACATTAACCTGATCATCAGCAAGAATCCCTCCAAAACAAGGGTCGCCGCTTGTCTCCTTCTGAGACATCCATGCCAATGCAATCCGCTGTCCATGTGTAATGTACAGTCAGTTTCGAACAGAAACTTGGAAAACCATATCAATTGAACAAAGTTACACAATACAGGCCTATATCATCTTTGTTAAGCAGACAGAAGTACCTCGAAAAAATATACACAAAAAAAGTGAAGTTCTACAGCTTGTCTTATAATATACTACCTGATGTCTCAGAAGCGGGACTGCCAAGAACCCGTCAGGAGGACTTGCTTCTGAATTAGGCTGAGAAAGATCCTGTTATTTTAAACAATGTTGTTAGACCTAATGAAACTGGACCAAAACCAAGAGAAAGGGATTATATCACACACATGCATCCAACATCAGAAGACAAACTAACAACATCTAGTCCCTCATATAACATTATTGAATAAATACCTCATGCACAGAACTCAAACAAAAGATTTTGCATGGTTATAAATATGCATCCACATATCAAGTAAACTTCATAAAGAAAGTGAACGTGTGTGTCTCGGGCAGATGGTATATAAAAAAAAGACATGGTAAGGGCAATTAGGCAAAAGGCTTACACGCCTAAACATCACCAACCTGCAATGCAGCTTGAAAGATCATGTTTCCCTTGTTTGACTCCAGCTTCAAGCCTCCACAATTATTAAAAGTTTGACTAACTGTGCAATGTTCTGAAGAAAACACAGGCCTCTGCACAGCTAGAGATAGGTGTGGATTAACTGATACACCCTTAGATTCTATTTTACAGATATCAGAATCATCATCTTTCTGGGGTATACGCTCTGATGAAAGAATTTCAACTGTTCCAGAGCTGACACTTGAAATATTAAAGCCTGCTTTCCTAAGTTGATTATATTCACGGTCCTCGTCTACTACCAGAAAATCCAAATACTCAGTGCTTAATGTTTCTGGCTCAGGATCTGCTACGTGTTGGAAACAGTCATCTATATCAAAACATTTATAGAAGCTTCTGCTGTCAATACCTTGGCCAGGGAAAGCAGTCTGGGGTTCCATAAATGAGTATTCTTTCCCAACATCTATCTGATAGGATACTCCGGAATTAGAGACACCAGACCATTGCAGTCTCGTTCCTGCAAATGTTTGAACATCACTGCATATACTACCCATCCCAGGAACTGAACTGTAAACCATGTTCTCTAACTCAATCTCTGGCTTAACCTTCACATGGACTGCTCTATTCTCTTGAAAAATGCTTGGACAGTTGTAAGGCTGCTCAGGCTCCTTATCAACTGGATGACCATAAAAACTATTGTATGGTTTGACAAAGGAATCTGAAGGAAAGATTTCACATTTGATGCTGAATTCTCTTCCACTGCTGGCATCATCAGGAGTCGAATTTTTCTCTAAGTTTCCATTATCTAGTCTTACATGGCTGTCAAAAACCATATGGCTTGCACCATCCGACTGACACTCGCTAAACCCGCTCTCAAAGTTATTTACAAATTCTTCTTTATTGGGGAAGAACTGAAATGTGTAACCATTGACGGAATTGGGGCTTGTATGGTGGCCATATGGTTCAGAAAAGGTACATATATCAGCGCCACCAATAATAGAACTGGAATCATGAGAGAAATGAGACATCACGGAGGAATTTTGTGTGGCTTCAATTCTTGGTCCATTTCCAGGCATAGTATTGAAATATTGACCCACCATAGTGGGGCTGCAAGGCGTTACTGCAATTTGATATATAATCAGTGAAAAAAATCCCATCGGAAATAACACCAAATGATGAGGAACATGGAAATTTTAAGAGAACGAAACCTGACAACTTCACAGAGAAGTTGCATACATTTGGAATCGAACATCGTTTCATCCAGGTTGGATACAGTGCCAGATTCACATTTCACAGCATAAGAGACCACATTGCTACGGTAATCAGAGAAACAAGTTGCATTTGGTCCTAATCCTCCATTCCCAGGGTCATCAAATGAACTTGGCACTGGTAGTTCTGTTTGTGAGGCTCTAGAGCCATAAGAATCCCGATAAGGAAACAAACCAGTGGCCTGAGATCCTAAGAAAGAAACGCATATAATAAAAAAAAAAAATTACCAAGGGGATGAAATGCAGTGCATGCTCCAATATCGAACTTAATTAACCACACTACTATATCCAGACAGAGCAAACGAAAGAGTCCTCTACGTTTACTAACCATTTTCCATCAGTGTGTTCCTAAGCTCGCCAGACTCAGCAACAGATGAACCAACTCGAGTCATATTTTCTTGCTTAACCTGAGAAATATCAAAAGCTTAGATTCAGTCAGATAGTCCAGAAATTAGGACTTTGAGCAACATTTCTTTTCAATTTCACAAAACCATACCTCAGTAGAATCAGACTCCTCATCGAGAATCCGATAAATTGACTCAACGTCGATCATAAGATCGTCGTCTTCGACTCCAAATACAAATCCTCTAGAGCAATCATCCGTTAGCATCCAATCGAAAGGCTGAAACACTGAACCGTCCTGAGCCATCACGAACCCAAACCCTAAGTCTAGAAATACGAAAACAAAAACCCTAACTCGGGAAAATCCTGAGCCAAAATCAACACTCAAAGGCTTTTTTTCCCAGAAAAATCAATCAATCAGAAGTCAGAACACGAAAATCGTCCACACGCGGATACAGGAACTTGCGATTTGGGATCCAGAGGTGGAAGAAAACCACTAAGCGAGGAAGAATTTTTTGGCCGAAGAAGGTTCGAGAGTAGTTGGGATGATCCACGCGACTTTATAGTTCCGGTGAG